TGCCATCTTTGCAAAGGGCAGCCAGTCTCCCTTTCTACACGCTTTGGCTGCGGAGGCCAGATGGAGACCTCGGCAGTGGCAGTGATTACAGTGGGGGGTGGGTTGGTGTGTGTGGGACAAATAAAAATGGGGAAGTATTCATCCCTTCGTATTCATTGAGGTCTCTGGAACCCACGAATACGAAAGGACAAATATTTAACGAATCAGGAATTTCTGACGAATATCGTGATCCTTTACTGTATTTAAATTTATCCCCGTGTCTACTGAGGAATCATCATCACTATGGCCCAAGGATGCCCTCATAGATGCCACAGGGGGAAACGGGGTATCCGCGCCAATACCCCATCCGAACTGCCACATCATGTCCGATTATGCCTTCAGCTGATCACAGGCTCTAAATGAGAAATTTTGGATGGGGCTAGATTAGTACTGAAGGCAGCCAGCATTACTAAAGGAAAAGTAGGTGAGGATATTTTGTTGAATAGATTCACAGCCTCCACCAGGAGAAGAGCTACAAGGTGACAAGCGATGATGGGGAGGTATCATCTCCAGGCTTCATAGGAAGGGACCTCCAAGGGCCAGATGCAGGGGAGGGGGATCAGGAGACAGGGATCTTGTGGTCTCTCAGATGCTCCCAGAGGCATCTGGTGGGGGCCACTGGGAGATACAGGTAGCTGAGCTAGAGGGGCCCTTGGCCTGATCCAGCACACGGCCTTTTCTGGTGTTCTTATGAGTCTTACACACCAAGACGTGATCTATGTCCAGTCCAGTCCACCCCTATTCTGGGATGGGAGAGTTAGAGGGGCCCTTGGCCTGATCCAGCACAGGGCCTCTTCTGGTGTTCTTATGAGTCTTACATACCAAGACGTGATCTATGTCCAGTCTAGTCCACCCCTATTCCGGGATGGGGGGCCTCAGAGAAGTTCATACCATTCCCCCTCATCTTCACATGGCTACAGGCTTGAAGGCCTTTCGTTTAAAACACTCAGCTATCGGTAGACGCGGCCCTTGGCCTGATCCAGCACAGGGCCTCTTCTGGTGTTCTTATGAGTCTTACATACCAAGACGTGATCTATGTCCAGTCTAGTCCACCCCTATTCCGGGATGGGGGGCCTCAGAGAAGTTCATACCATTCCCCCTCATCTTCACATGGCTACAGGCTTGAAGGCCTTTCGTTTAAAACACTCAGCTATCGGTAGACGCTGATGTTGGGAAAGTGTGAAGGCAAGAGGAGAAGGGGACGACAGAGGATGAGATGGATGGACAGCATCATTGAAGCGACCAACATGACTTTGACCCAACTCTGGGAGGCAGTGAGTGGAAGACAGGAGGGCCTGGCGTGCTCTGGTCCATGGGGTCACAAAGAGCCGGACACGACTAAACAATAACAACAACAACATAGGTAGACAATGTGTACCTTCTAGACAGTTTGGGCTACAATCCCCATCAGCCGCAACCAGTATAGCCATGTTCTAAGGATCATGGGGAATGTAGTCCAAAAGCATCAGAAGGACTCCATATTGCTCATCCTTCTCTGAGGCCGACTCTTTTTGGAATTCAGTCAATTTTCACTTTTATACCAAGCAAAACTTTTGTGCAACCCCAAACAGTTCACAAAGTGGAAGGCAGCTGGCCGTCCACATCCATCGTTTGTGATTTAAGATTTGAAGAGCAGAAAGAAAGAAAGAAAGAAAGAAAGAAAGAAAGAAAGAAAGAAAGAAAGAAAGAAAGAAAGAAAGAAATGGCATTGGGCGTACAGGATAGAGAAGCACATCGCAGAAAATACAGGGGCATGTGGGCAAGCACTCTTGCATTTAAAGAAAATAATTTGCAAAAATGTGTAATTTCAAAAAAATATTTACAGAATGTGTATCAGAGAGATGCACGAAAAGATGGATGAATTTTCCAGAAGGTTTAAGAAAAATTCACAAATGGTTGCAGAAATGGGACTGGACCTAGCACTCTGAAGTCATAGAACTGGAAGAAATGACAAAGGCTGAGAAAGTCCAGAGTCCTGCTGAACCAGGAGACGGCCAGCTAAAGCATCCTTAAAAGTGTATTCTCAAAGGCTTTCATGGCCAGGATCCGATGGTGGTTGTAGGTTTTTTGAGCTGTTTGGCAGTGTTCTGCATGGCCAGGATCCGATGGTGGTTGTAGGTTTTTCGAGCTGTTTAGCAGTGTTCTAACATTTCTCCTGTCTCTGTGGCTGGCCTCTTCAGAGGACAGAATTCAGAACTCTGTCTGTGTTCCCTTGAAAGATTTCCTTCCTGACCCACCTCTTTCTCCACCACCTCCAGAGGCCAGAGTGTGCTCTGCTGCTGAACTGCTCTCGCACTTAGCAAATTTCTTTCTTATGTTTAGGAGAAACGGCCTCTCCTGGAACTTGAATGGACAAGACAAACCTGCATCATCATGCACATGGCAGCCTTTCCAATATTTAAAAAGGGCTCTCACATCAACCTTTAGTCTTGTCCCATCCAGACCTACCCAGAACCCTCAGAGGGTTTGGTTTCCAGATCTTTCGCCATCCTGTAGACACATTCTACCTTCCAAATGTCCTTCTTAAACTGGGGTGCCCAGAGCTGGACCTGGCGGCAAATATCAGCAAACCTGAAAGATTGGCCAACCCTTAAGAATCCCCAACATCCTCAACAGGAATATCAGGAAAGAGGAACCGGTCTCTCCTCTCTGGCTGCTTCTAAGCCCTCTGTCGTCTCTGCCATGGCCGAACCATCATTCAGGGGGATCTGGATTGCCAGTGGAAACCATCAAGGCTTCAGGGCAAGGGGTTCCAGAAAAGGCACAAATCCTGCTTTGTGCCCTAGGATTTTTTTTGACAGAATTCCATGATACCACAGGGCGTGGCATGTCTGTGGCTGATCTCAGGAGTCCTGCTGCAGACGGACTGAAGAGGAAAGCGTTCCTTGGGGAGCAAAAGCCCCCTCAACAGGCCAGAATACAGATGACTTTCCCCAGGAGAAAGAGGAGAGGCGACAGCGACGGCAGAAGCAGGAGGAGAGGTGTGGTTGTGGTTGTATTGAGACAGCAGTACTGTGCTGGGCAATGATGGGGGCGGAAAAACCAAAGTCCTTGTTGGTCATACCTTGACCACGTCCAAGCTCAAATGGTTTCTGTACAAGCTCTTTGTACCCTGTACACCAGACAAAGCACAATATGAGGCTCCCAAACCCTACACTGCACATAGACACACACACACACACACACGTCATCAGGTCAGAGTGTCTTATGCCTGAACCATTCCCAAAGCGTCCTTACAGAACTTTATAAAGCTCTAGGGATTAAAATCAGAAGCCTGTGTTGATCGCAGCTGGCATTTATCTCATTTAAGGTTCATTCCAGAATGAAATCAGGCCATAAATCAGACAATCATCCAAATTCATCTGGGTATCAAGGTACTGTGTATGGTCATCAGGTCAGAGTGTCTTATGCCTGAACCATTCCCAAAGCGTCCTTACAGAACTTTATAAAGCTCTAGGGATTAAAATCAGAAGCCTGTGTTGATCGCAGCTGGCATTTATCTCATTTAAGGTTCATTCCAGAATGAAATCAGGCCATAAATCAGACAACCATCCAAATTCATCTGGGTATCAAGGTACTGTATATGTTTTCTATTGTTGAAATAATTCCAGGCAACACTTGCTTGTCTATTTCTACAAGCTTTATTCAGGCACGTTGTTTCTATGTTCCGTATGCACAAAAATACATCAAAGTTGCTGAAAAGATCCACAAGTCCTACAGCTGTGTAAAAAGCTCTAAGACTTCTGGATGTTTTCCTCAGATGTAGGCAGAAAGGAGGGTTTCATGGAGATGTTCAAGAGCACAGGGGCCAAAACGGAACCCCAAGAGACCCCACAGGCCAATGATCAGGATGTCAGATAGGAGTCCTCCCAGCACCACCCTCAGAGTTTTCCCCTCCAGGAGGGACAGGAGCCACCCTTACAGAGTGCCTCCAAGTCCCATCCCGGAGAGACAGGCCAGAAAGAGACCAACAGGGACGCACTCCCCCTGTCCAGTTCCCAAAGTAGGTCGTCCACCAAGGTGACCAAAGCTGTCTCTATTCCATAACCAAGTCTGAAGCCAGGTTGGAATAGATCTAAATGACCGGTCTCCTCCAGGAACCTCTGGAGCTGAGAAGCCACCACCTGTGCGAGCACCTGGCCCATGCTGGATTTCATGACCCTTGGGGTCCGTAGATCTAAATGACCGGTCTCCTCCAGGAATCCCCGGAGCTGAGAAGCCACCACCTGTGTGAGCACCTGGCCCCTGCTGGATTTCATGACCCTTGGGGTCCATTCTACCTCTAGAACACGGAGATTCTAAGAATACCGCTCGTCCATCTTGAAGGAGAGAGAACTCTCACGCGCCAACTGTGTGATGTCCCGAGGGCACAGAACCGGCATGCATTTTGTGATGTCAGCAGCTCCAAGAAAACATGGCTGCGGAAGCCATTGGTGGGGTCACAGGAGGGAGGAGCGGGCCGCTTCTCTCCGTTCTGGTCCTTCTTGTCCTGCGCTGGATGCCCGCTCAACCCAGCAGTTGCGAGTAAGCCTGATTTGCCAGCTGCGGCTGCTCCTGGATAGCAATCATTTGGCTACTGCGACACGCAAGTAATTTATAGGCCAGATTTCTGTTATGTAGGTGCTTCCAAGCAAGGCATGTACTCTCCAAACTGTTTCTCTCACATCACTAGATATTTTCCTGGACATGCAGATACCGTAAGACTTGCCTCGGTGTGTCCAAGCAAAAAGTCTGTTCCTTTGCAAAGTCTTCTGTCTCTTCCTGAAGCTGTTTTCCCTCTCTTTTTCTTTCTTGATTATGGTGTGTGTGTGTGTGTGTGTGTGTGTGTTAAATGGAGGTGGGGTGGTGAGAGGGCTAGAGACCTGGATTCAAATCCCCACTCAGCCATGAAACTCACTTGATGACTTTGGCCCAGTCATAGTCTTTTTTGCTTGACCTTCTCTGAAGGGTCATTGCGGGGACCAAGGAGAGAGGACGGACACCATTATCAGCCACCTATCTTTTGCTAGAAACTAAGCGAGACGGAGATGTGACAAATAACTAATAACGATGGTTGTTGTGGGTTTTTTGGGCTCTTTGGCCGTGTTCTGAAGGTTGTTCTTCCTAATGTTTCACCAATCTCTGTGGCCATGGGCATCTTCAGAGGACAGGAGTAGCACTCTGTGCTCTGGTGCAGTTTGTTTGGGAGTTGAGTATTTATAGCTGTGGGATCAGCTTTTGTCCTTTTCAGGAGATGGGTGATTATGGTGTTAGTGTCTTTTTGTTGTGGGTGTATTGTTTGTTTGTTTATTGCATTTATACACCACCCATCTAGTCAATTGTTGTGATAAGGAGGAGAGATGATCTGTCACTGTGTTTTGTGGTTCCAATATAAGCCTGGCCGCAACTGCAAGGTATCCGGTATACTCCTGCAGTGGTGAGGGGGTCCCTTCTGCCCTTTGCTGACTGTAACATTTGTTGTATTTTTGTGGTGGGCTTGAATACTGTTTGTGGTGGCGGTGCAGGGACGTGGTGGCGCTGCGGGCTATACCACAGAAGCCTGTGCTGCAGGGTCCGAAGTTTCCCCATGTCCTCTGAAAATGCCGGCCACAGAGACAGGTGAAACGTTAGAAAGAACAACCTTCAGAACACGGCCAAAGAGCCCGAAAAACCCACAATAACCATTAGATCCCGGCCGTGAAAGCCTTCACGAATACGAACTAATAACAATGTTTATGTCTTATTAAAATGAATGATAAAAAGTGGCTCCTGTTAATCCTGCGCCTTCTTTTTAGTGGAATCTGTGGAAGGCGCCCCCTGGCAGTCAGACATAACCAGCTTCGTCTTGTGGGTGGCACCAACGCCTTGCCGGGAACATGGCCCTGGCAGGTCAGCATCCAGCTCAGAACCCGGTGGGGGGATTACATGCATATGTGCGGAGGTGCTCTGATCAGCTCCCATTGGGTCGTCAGCGCCGCCCACTGTCTCGGGAAACCAAAGTAAGGAGCAAGGGGGGGGAACTGGTTCCCTCGGGGCTGTTTTGGGGTGGGGGCACAGCAGGTGGCCTGGGGGCTTTGAGGACAAGACGACTCCTCTCCTCTCAGGAGTCAGCATCAAATGCTAGAATTAGTCATTTGAGGGGGAGGGGAAGCAGAACACTGAGCCTGCCGTAGCTGCTCTCAGGAAATCAGGGTCCGTGGTCCAGGATTTGCCTTTCCTGCGTCAGAACAAAGGGGTGGAATTTTGGTGGTTTTGAGAGTCTTGCCAACACCTCCCATTTTGCACCTTCTGGACTTAGAGTTGAAGTCCGTTTTGCTTCAGAAATGCTCACATTTGCCTGGACTGTAAGTGCACTTCCTGCACACAAAATCATTAATGCATTTTTTAAAAATGCAAAGAACATGCGAATACATGCCATGGAAAACTGCACACAAATAAACTTTGGCCAATGGGGCAAATATGTACAAAATGCATATATTGAGGAAGTTGTGTACTCAGACGCTTGCATGACAGGAAAATGCATGCAGCTTTCCAAATAGGAATTAAAAGACGGTCACACCGTCTGGTTCAAACACAAAGTGGGATGCGAATGCAGATGAAACCCGAGATGGAGAAGCATCCTCATTAGGACAAAGGTCCAGTGAGCCCAGCATTTTCCTTCCAAGGACTTTGAGATGTGGGATACTTTCTTTAAAAAAATCCATTCCCAGGCTGGTGATTGCTTGAACTGATGAAGAAAAACCACCACACCAGCACACACTCGGGGAATGGTGAGCAAAGCCTGTCAGCAAGATTTTTCTCCTCTACGCTTTTTTTAAGCTAAGAGTGAGCAAAGACTGTCTCTTTTTTAAAACAGCTTACAGGAAAGGTAACAAGAGGAGGAACCTCTTGTTTACAGCTTGTTAAGCAGCTCCCTTTAAACTGTGCCACCTGCAGGGCTATAAACAGAGCTGCAAACAAGCTGCAAACAAAACTTCCTTCTCTTTCCTTGTGTGGCCAGTTAATTCGAAGAGATCCAGGGAAACCTGAAATCTTGGGTGTGGCTTCCCAGAAAGTGAATGTAAACAAATTTGTATTTCAATTGTTGTGTAGTTGCACCCTCTGTCATTTCTTAACTTGAGGCAATTTGCCTCTAAATGTTATACCATTTGCATTACAGCTGCTGCTGTAACCAACAGGACTGGTTTCTATCATCACATGTAGTTTTCTCGTCTGATGGGGTCAGGGCTACAAGGGACATCAGCCCTATGGGAACACCGGTGCCCAACCCTTAGGGATGCAGAACAAGTGTTACCTGCCTGTGGAGATGTCTCAGCAGCCAGAAGACATATAAGCAAATGGCTACCCTGATCGCTGTTGCACCTCGAACTCTCTCCTCCACTTTGCTCTTGCTTTATTGCCTAAAATCCTTCCCAGGAGATGTTCACTGCCTTGGCTGCTCCTGTCTTATCTCTCAGATAATGGGGCCCTCGACACTTGTGCCCAAAGGTTCTCCTGATTGGTAAAATCCTAGAATCGTGAAGTTGGAAGGGGCCTCTAAGGCCATCAAGTCCAATTCCCCTGCTTGATGCAGGAATATAAAGCAAAGGGCATCTGCCAGTCAGTTGTCTAAATTTCTGAGTGCCTCTCCAGCACTGGAGCGCTCACCACCTCCCCCTGAGGTCACTGGTTCCGTTGTCATACTGCTCTAACAGTTAGGGTTTTTTTCCCTAATATTCAGCCGAAATCTGGCTTCCTGTCGCTTGAGCCGATTACTACGTGTCCTGTACTCAGGGATGATTGAGAACAGATCCTGTCCTTGCTCTGTAGGACAACCTTCCAAGTCAAATGCTGACCACATCTTGGCTGCCATACTACATTTTTAACCACTGCACCGTACTGACTCCTGCCCTGTGGACCTGCATTTTTTGTTAAGATAGTGTACAGTAATCTAATCAGACCTTAACTGTTTGTCTTTGGTATCTGTGGTATTCTGGCTTATTCTAATACCATTTATTTACTTTATCTCTTTTTCTCTCAAGCAGGCTTTAAAAGGGAAGGATTAGGGCTGACATGTCAAATCACAGAATCATAGAATGACTGAGTTGAGAGGAGCCTCTAAGGCCATCGAGTCCAACCCCCTGCTCAAGGCAGGAATCCCAAATTAAAGCAGATCTGACAAAGGGTGGTCCAGTTTCCTCTTGAAGGCTTCTCCAGCATTGGAGCGCTCACCACCTTGCCTTGAGGTCATGGGTCCCACTGTCATACTGCTCTAACAGTTAGGAAGTTTTTCCTGATCTTCAACCAAAATCTGGCTTCTTGTTGCATGGTACGATCCACGGCAGGAATTTGTGATAATTATGTTAATCAGGGTGCAGTAGGCCAGTGACTGAACTTATGGCCAACTCCTAGGAGCAATTAGGATGTAAGGTGAAGGAAATTAAAATGTAAGGTGATTGTATTCCTGCATTGAGCAGGGGGTTGGACTTAATGGCCTTGTAGGCCCCTTCCAACTTCATGTCTCTATGATTCTATGAAACACTTACATTGATTGTTCCAAGAAATTCATTCAGAGTACAGTGGGATATAGCCTAACCTTTGAGTGAAGGAGATCTTAGAGCTAGCAAGTGTGATCATGGCCTCCCAGAGAGAGCTTCACGACTAGCTATCCATTGTAGACAAAAACAGAAGCGCTGCCTTGCTGTGTAGAAGGGGCAAGTGGCCTAAGGGAGCAGTCAGTGGGCAAGAACAGAGAGTGTTCCTGTGGCCACCCAGCTATCATTTGGTCTATGTCCCAACCTCTGGGGTTACTGATACACAGGATTCTTGCATTTCCTCAACCCCCAGCCATCTTTTTCCTGCTGAGCCACAGCAACCGCGTACATGACATGCTTCTGTTCTTTGTTCCCATATATAGGGAACGTTACAAGCTCGTGCTGGGGTGCAACCGTGTCCTCCGGCCTGGCCCAGATGCCCAGCATCGCTTTGTCAAGAGACTGGTGAAGCACGGACACGTCCACAATACACTGAAGACCAGGGGAACGATCCTCAATGACATTGCCTTGGTGGAGCTGTCCGAGCCCGTCGCCTGCACCGACTACGTCCAGCCAGCCTGTTTGCCCGACAGCCGCGTGGCCCTTTCCGCCCTCACCGATTGCTACATCAGCGGCTGGGGGAACACCAACCCCCAAAGTGAGTGATATGTCAAAAAAAGCAGGCCTGCCCTGAGAGGTTACAGGAAACTCATAATCCTGTGCCTTCGGTGGCTGCAAAGCACAATTATCACCACAGACAGACAGACAGACCTGTTTGTGAATGCGCTGGGAAGCACTGAACATTCAGTTCAACCACTAAGCAAACCGGCATGAACGGCCAAACCAGCCGTTCGTGCGCGTCTGTGTAGGGACCCTCATCCCAAACAAAATGCTGTTCCTGTAGAGATGCAGCAAGGCAGCGCAGGCTTCCTTCCTCATTGAATCTTGTGCCACCTGAACCTTTGGGAACAGACCAGTTGCAAGGGCCCACGTGATGAGCGTTGGTGGCACTGGTTTGGAGCTCAGTTACAAGGATTCCCCCCCCCTGCCCTGTCCACCCCACCCTCTTTTGGGAAACAAGGAGCCCTGGCGCTTCACTCCAGGCAGAACCTCTTTCTAAGGCCAGGGCTCGCCTCTGGAGAGGCAAAGCCAGGAGGCTGCCGTGGACGTGTCCCTTTGGACCGGTTCCCACGGCTGAGTAGACCACATGCCCTCCGTGTGGGTGTCCAGAGCAGCTGTCTTCAAGGGCCCCCTTGCTGAATCTCTGGGTGTCGTAGAGAGAGACGAATCCCACCCACGTGTCTGGTTTCCTTCCCACAGATGATCGTTACCCGGACATCCTGCAGGAAGGGAAAGTGGACTTCTTGCCCCGACGGAACTGTTCAAAACTGTGGAACAGGCCCCTTCCTGCCATGAACCTGTGCGCCAGGCTGGAGCGAGGAGGCACAGGGACCTGCCAGGTAGGGCGGCTGGCCAAAGTCAGCAGTTTTGGAAGAGGTCGCTGTGTTAGTCTGTGCTAGCGTATCAGGCGAAACCCGAAGAAAATAAAAAATCAATGAGACAAAAACACTGTGGTACCTTAAAGACTATTGTACAGGAGGACCCCCGTATCCACAGGGGATCCTGTACGTGGTTGTTGTGGGTTTTTCGGGCTCTTTGGCTGTGTTCTGAAAGTTGTTCTTCCTGACATTTAGCCAGTCTCTGTAGCCGGCATCTTCAGAGGACAGGAGTAGCACTCTGTGCTCTGTTGCTGTTTTTTGGGGGGTTGAGTCTTTATGGCTGTGAGATCAGCTTTTGTCCTTTTCAGGAAATGGGTGCTTAGGGTGATCAGTGTTTTTTTGTTGTGGGTGTATTGTTGTTAATGAGGGGTGATTATCTGTCACTGTGATTGATGGGTGTCGTTAGCTGGTCTATTGTGTGTAGTGATCACCGGTCCTTGTGGCTGGGTAGAGTTTGTTGACCTTTTGCACGCTGTATTTTTCGGTGCTGGGAACCAAGCTTTGTTGAGTTTCAGACTTTCTTTTTTGCTGAAGTTCTGCTGGCGTTTGTGGATTTCAATGGGTTCCCTGTGCAGTCCAACGTAATGATTGCTGGTGTTGTCCAGTATTTCAGTATTTTGAAATAGAATTTCATGTCCAGCTTGTTTTAGGGCATGTTCAGCCACTGCTGATTTTTCTGGTTGTTTTAGTCTGCGGTGTCTCTCATGTTCTTTGATTCTGGTGTGGATGCTTCGTTTTGTGCCCTCTGCCTGCCAAGGAGCACCCCTCCCACAGCCCTTGGCAGACAAGGGTCACTCTGGGTCTCTCACGCCCTCGCTTTCTTTCTTTCTGTCTCTCTGCCTCTTCTCCTCTCGCAGGGAGACAGTGGTGGCCCCATCCAGTGTCGAGAAGAAAGGTCAGAGCGCTACTGGGTCCTCGGGGTCCTCAGCTGGGGTCCCCTGGCTTGTGGTGCGACCCGGCAGCCGAGCGTCTTCATCTCCCTCCAGTACTTCCGTGACTGGATCCAACAGCAGACCAAGGAGGAGGACCTCTCCACGCCGGTTCGCCTGCCTGTTTTTGCACGGGTTTCAACACCAGCACGCCGGACTCCACCGCCCACCACGAAGCCCTCCAGGCCTGCTTCCTGGCTGAGCCCCCCAATGTGGGCCAGGCCAACGGCCCTCTACTCCTGGATCTCCCCCGGGAGGTTCCCTCCTCCGCAGTGGCGCTCTTGGAGCCCTCCTCGGCCAAAGACCACCCGATGGTATCCCAGGACAAGACCCCATGGATGGAGCAGACACACTCACAGGCCAATGTCCTGGTTTCACCTTGGATATCCTCTGCAGCCTTAGCCACCCTGGCTACCCCAGCCGGATAGCTGGCTTGCAGCACCCCCAGCTGGCTACACCCCTTCCAACTGGGATCGGGGTTTTTGATAGTCCCGGCCCCCCTACTTTGGCCTTGGCATGACAGCTGGGAGGGAGGGAGCCACTGCGGTGGCTCGTTGGGCCCCTACAGTGAAAGGGGAGACCCGAAGTCCTGAACATGCCGTGGGATGATAGTGTGACAATAAAGCAAATATGATTTCGCCCAAGTGTCATGGATGGTTGTCTTTGGGTCAGCTGGGGGGATAGAAAGAACCGCAATCCTGCAGCAACTGCATAGGATCCGAGAATCCTAGGAGGATGGTGTTGGAAGGGGGCCTCTAAGGCCATCGAGTCCAACCCCCCCACCCCCCGCTCAAGGCAGGGATCCAAGTCAACGAGGGGGCCTCTAAGGCCATCGAGTCCAACACCCCCCCACCCCCCGCTCAAGGCAGGAATCTAAGTCAAAGCAGATCTGACCAATGGTAGTCGTCCCATTTTCTCTTGAAGGCCTCTCCAGCACTGGAGCGCTCACCAACGCCTCCCTTTGAGGTCATGGATTCCACTGTCCTACTGCTCTAACCGTTAGGAGGTTTTTCCTGATACTCAACCAAAAGTAAAGATCAGGGAATCAGAGAATGATGGAGCTGGAAGGGGGCCTCTAAGGCCATCGAGTCTGACCCCGTCTGCTCAAGACAGGAAAACAAATCAAAACAGATCCGACAGATGGTTTTTCTCTTGAATCCCTCCAGTTGTTTCATGCACACATGTTCCACCCCCTTGCTTTGCCCTCTTCCCCACCTCTCTGTAGAAGGGTCTGGGGGTTTCCACTCTCTTTATCCACGCACAAAGATTTTACCCACCCTGCCCCCCAACCAACCTGCTTAAATGGGGGGAGGGGCGGGTGATTTAAACCACACACCCCAACAACCCAAGAGATCTAAAATGCCAAGGAAGCACAAGAATGATGTGCCCTCACGGCGCCTTCTTCCACCCTACCATTGGGGCGACAAGATGAACGGGGGTGTGTGTGTGAATGGGGCTGAGGGGGGGAAGCACCTCCCACAGGTTGCGGGCGTGACCTGCACGAGCAGCGAGTGGCCTACAACCCATGGGCACGGAGATGAGCTGAGAGGACAACCTCAAGGACTAACTTGGTGTAAAGGCGGACACAGATGTTATAGTCCGGGCAGCCCATTTCCATCTTCGGAGGATGGCCCAACTGCATCCCTGCTTAGACGTGGGGGCACTCTCAACGTTGATTCATTGGCTCGTAATCTCAAGAACAGACTACTGCAGTGCTCTCTACGTGGAGCTACCCTTGAGGTTGATGCAGAGACTTCAACTGGTCCAGAATTCGGCGGCCAGATTAATAACTGGGGTGAAGAAATTCCAGCACATCTCCCCCACTCTGGCCACCCTTCATTGGCCACTGGTTCGTTTCTGCATCAACTTCAAGGTTATGATTATAACATTCAAAGCCCTAAACGGTGTAGGACCTCGCCCGGCCTTCTTGGCTGTCGCGCCCCCCTCCCGCCGCTTGTGGAACAACCTGCCCATGGAGATCCCCGCCTGGCACCCTCCCTGGATGGGTTCAAAAAAGAGCATTGAAGACTTGGCTCTTCCGCCAGGCTTTCCCGGATCTCACCCTCCCTTTTTTACCATCCTTTTTGCCATCCTCTCCATCACCCTTTTAAAACCACCTTTATTGACATCTGTTTTAATTTACCCTCTTTGGCTTGTATTAATTCATTTACTTTTATCGTGTTTTGATATTGTGTTGCTCATCTTGTGGTTAGCTGCCCAGAGTGGCCTGGTTGCCACATGGTGCGAGATATAAATCCAATAAATAAATATAGAACAGGGAGGGAGGTTAAAGAGGGCGGGTAAGTTGCAAGGGGGGAGGGAAATGTGGTGTATAGACTAGAGAGCTGGACTAGTAGGAGGCCTGGGTTCAGTTCTCTGGCTCTGCCACAGAGACTCACAGGGAGTTACTACTAATAATAAAACACTCCTTGGACATACCAAGTATCTCCTCCTCCTCCTCCTCCTCCTCTTTATCATCATCATTTAAAAATATTCAGAAATACCAGGTACAGTCAATCAAAATTGACTGCTAATACCCTGCTTCCCCAAAAATAAACCCTAGTACGATTTTTGGGATGCTCGTCATAGAAGCCCTACCCCAAAATTAAGCCCCAGTTAAGTGAAACCCCGCCCTCCACCCTTGTGCAGCAACCATGAGAAGATGACGTTGCTGCATTTGAATAAATGTAGATGGTTGTATATGGAAAAAATAAAACATCCCCTGAAAATAAGACCTAGTGCGTTTTTGGAGCAAAAATTAATAAAAGACCCTGTCTTATTTTCAGGGAAACACGGTATATAACAGATGCAAGTTTTAACCCAAACCTAAGTAGCTGTTAAATATCGACATAGTATATATGCTGTTCCTAATTATTCAAAAAGACCATCTTTTTAAAATAATTTCTTCTGCTGCTGCTGCTTCTTTTTCCACTACCCAGTGTAGTGTAGTAGAAAGCATGATGGACTAGATCTCGGGAAATCTGGGCTTTGAATCCTCGCTCGGCCATGGAAACCCACTGGGGGTGTGGAATTGATAAAACCACTCCTTAAAGATCTCACAGGTGGGTTTATTTAGCTTTTTTTATTGGAACAGTAGATCAGCCTAGAGCTGAGCAGGTGACTATTGAGGAGAACCATCACCAGAGAGACTAGGAGTAAAGCAAAAAAGAAAACTTAGTGTTGATGAAGTAGGAGATCTGTTTAGGGACAGTGCTGGAGGGGGTGGGAAAATATCTCTGCATTATTTATAGGATTCTTTAGGACAGTTTCCCAAACTCCCAAGTTTGCCCCCTTGTCCGCCTGAAGGGGCAGAGCAAGAAGACGCAGAAGGTGACCTCACAGAGAGAATGAAGGGTACCTGAGAGTACCAATCTGCATGTAGATCTAGAAAAAATGGGGAAATACACATGGGCAATCTATTGGCCTGTTCCCCTGTCTCTAATGATGTAAAGCAATTGCGTTTTATACCAACACACTCCCGGCCTTTTCCAGTGTAGGGCTGTGCTGCAGATCTGAACCGGGGTGGGGCTGGGGTTTTGTGTGCTGTGAAACCTGATCTCCTCTCAGGTCCCTCCTGCACCTCCTGTGTTCTTGACAGCTAGGACGCCTGCTTTCTAGGACACAAGAGTGATGACGAGAAGCGTCTCTAACCAAAGTCTTTGGGGTGCTTCAAAATGTCAAAAGTTCCCATAAACTTTCAGAGATTGGAACTCAGATCCTCACTGACGCATCTGGAAAAGTCCACGAAAGAGGATGCAAAATCAGACTGCAAGAGGCCACAAACCAAAAATTATTTTCCAGAATGTTCAGCACCTGAGCTTCAGGGTTGCCCACGCCATGCGGAGGACAGAGGGCAGGGACTGGCAAAGAAGGGTCAAGGCAGAGAGGGGTCGTGGAGCCCGGGTGGTCCCAACATGGGAAGCTCCAGAACTGGGTTGGTCCTTTCATCTTGTGATGGCTGAAGCCCCCCCCCCTTAATACTTCCTTACTTGAGGTTGCGGGAGGGGAGGGCTTAGCAACCAATTTCAGGTTGTTGTGTTTTTTGTGCTAAACCAAAGGGATTTCCTTCTTCATGGGTTGCTGTCCTTCTTCATGGATTGCTGTCCTTCTTCATGGATTGCTGCCTTGTCG